GAGAGGCGTTTTTAAAACTTTTCATTCTACTTTTTAGTCTCATATGAAGGAGGAGACCATACAGATGTTATAATTCACGCCATCAGAATTAGAAGCTGACCATTTCTTAATTACAAAACATAATAAGTGTTTCTTGGCTTATTAGTTTTTTGCTACACTATGCTGCAGATTCCTTAAAGACAATTATTAAACTATCCCTCATGTGTGTTCTTACAATGCATTTTTTTATAGTTCTGTTTCTGTAAAGCATCTAATCTTATTTGCAAGCCATCTTTAAAAACTTTTTTCTTGCTCCATTTCTCTCTCAACCATATCTGTCTTGTTCTATGGCATTTCTAAGTTAGCATTTCTTATCTCAAAGTTTGCATATAGATGCATACTTCTCAGGCCTTGAGAATTCTGCATAAATCTATTTCTCACATTTCTCCTCTCTCTTGGATAGAAAAAGCTTTTTTGATGGCCTTGTTCATAATTTTTCATGCACTGTGAAGTACACAGGGCACTATTACTAACATTGCTACGATAACAATCAATACCTATAAACCTATTTTGCAAAGTTCCTTTAGCTAAGATGTAGAACTCCATCTTTCAAACAAGTTGTCTAACTAGGATCTATCATTTGTTTTAATTTTATTTGTAAAATCTCTCCATTTTTGAAGTTGTTTGTGGATGGACAACATTGAATGGTCAGACAATTTCATACTGCACAGTTCTTCAAAATCTTCACAACTATGTTTATGTGCCAGTAAAGGAAAATCCATGGTGGCTCTGTCCTGTGAGGTTGCATGTTTGACAGCACTAACATCTGTCATCATGTTACTGATTGCAATGGAAGTAGTATTGACTTCTTTCCTCAGCCAACACCTCAATTAATTTAATTGTTTTAATGCCTCACCTGAGGGAAGTTGAGGTGGAAATAAAGCTGATGTGACTCGTTTTGCAAGGCTCTAGGGTTTGAAATGGCTATTACAGTTTTCTTCATAATGATGGGTAAATATTTTTTCTCCATGATTTCCCTGGATGGCTTTTTTAACATTAGCAGCTATCACAGTGGGCTGTGCAATGCTACATGGGTCACTTTTCATTTTTGAGAGAATGCCTTGCCAGGCTCTATCTCTACAAATGAGATTTTTGGCAGTTGCTGTGGGGACTCATCTAGGTCAGCAATTTCACCCTAAGAGGGCAATGGGGTAGTACAATTGCACCAGAAGCTTGAGTTTCTGTACACAGGATGATGGGGACTAACATTTGATTGTGGATCTCCCTGGAACTGAAACATAAGTTCCGAGAAACAAAATTCTATTACTAATGAACCAAGGATTTCTAATTCTTGAGGTTAACAGGGTGCTTTAAAAAGATAGGCAAAAAGGCAAGAGAAATCTGGCTTTATCAGGAAGTGAGGCGTTGCTGAGCAATGGCCACAGTAACTTGCCTTATTTCACCAAACTTGGGAAAAGTAAGATTCCATTATGTGAACATGGTTTGAGAGCGCCATCATTGTAACTACGTTTTGTGGAGAGCCTGGTACAAAGTTCTCCTAAACTGCAAAGCTGCTGTGGTTCCTCCTCCCCAAGGACATGGCTTAACGCTTCTCCAGCTCAGCCAGTGCTTCCTCCTTGGTAATTCTCTGCCACGCCTCAGGGATTTCTCCTCTACCCTGGAATTTCCGATTGTACAGAGCTTCCAGCTGTGTCCTGAAATGAGACACAAACCATTTCCAGTACGCCTGCATGGATGAATCAGGAAGAATATTCCAAGTGGAATAAGGGGGTCCTGCATCCCGGTATCTCTTGTATGGGATCCATTCATCGTCACGAACTCTGAATGAGCAGTCACTTGCAACAAGGCTGGAACAAATATCAATGACCAGGTGGTCTGTCCCATGCCACTTGCCTCCCATCAAAGCTTGTGGGCGATGGAAGACCAGCTGATGGTCTCCATCATGATTCCACATGGTGTTTGTGCAGACAGCCCCACAAAAGGGACACTGCTCCCAGCACCCTGAAAAATGCTCTGCCAGGATGGTGTGAGGCTGCCTTGAAAACGAGCTCAGGTCAGCATCAGCCAATTCTTTCATGAGCCTTTCCCGCAGGGCAGCCAGAGCTTCTGTCATGGCACTGCTCAGGAACTCAATGTCTGTGACCTCCTGGTGCTCGATGCCCTTCAGGTCACTTCTGGGCAAGTTGATCACCTCTGACAGTTGCCTGCAAAATTCATCCAGCCAAAGAGAGATTTTGTCTTCCCTGTCTTTTCTGTCTTTGACTATTTGGGTTGATAAAGAAACAGCTGAGAGAATGTTTCGATAGAGATGATCAAGGGAGGAATCTAAAAACATCTTCAGCCTCCTACTCCCATCTAAACAGTGATTCCTAACTCGTGTCTCAATATAACTCTGACAAAAGCGTTTTGGAGATGTAAGGAACTGCTTGAAATACTCAAAATTTTCCTCTTCTGCCAGGTATTTCAGGATGCAAACTTCCAGATTGGATCTGCTGCCCTGGAAATCTGGGAATTGTCCTTGCATGTCCTCAGCAATGTCCTTAGCCGTCCTCAAAGAGACTGCCTGGCGAAGAGCTGGTTCAATCTTGTCACAAAGGAAAACAGCAAAAGTTGTGCCAGAAGTGGCTCCTTGGCAGGAAATCTGGAAACACTGGAAGAAATCTTCTCTCTTGCTGCTCAGGTACACAACTGGGTCATTTGCCTTTTGGAATGCCTCGTGCATGGCTTTAAACCTCTCCGCTGCTATTTTGCACAGGTACAGAGACAAATCTATGCTGTACTCCCTGTTAAATGTACATTTTCCATTACTGGGGACAGAGTTCACACCTTTCTGTACTTCATTGAGTATTTCATGAATAAAATTTCGACTGTAATCCCGTTTCTCCTCTTCCTTCTTAGAAATGTTTGCCATCACACGCTCTATGATGTTGTTTGTGATGTGCTGAAAGTTGATCACATCAGCATTGGAAAGGTTCCAGAAACCTGGGAAAAAGCTAAAAGAACTTTTCTTCATGATGTGTTTCTCTGGATCCAAATAAAATAATTTGTCCTTGGGAAATGACATGATCCGTGCATGGATGCCCGGCTCCTTAAAGTGCTCAAGAAGGACATCTTCAATTTCTACATCAATATCCACCCGTTCCAAAGGACGAGCATCACGGAAGACTTCGGCGATCCACTGGTTCCAGACAAGAGTAAAGTTGTCCTTCAATTCTCTCTCAGTGAGGCTCTTCCCCTTCAGACTCACAGCCAGCTCCCGACTCTTTCTCAGGAGCTCATCTTCATATTGCAACTTCCTTGCATCCAGTTTCCTCTGCTCTTTCTGTAGCTCAATAAGATTCTCACATTTCTTTTTGGTTTCATCAAGAAGAGTCTCTTTTAATTCTTTCAGCTTCAGCTCTGTGCTTCTTTTCCACTGGACCAGTGTCTCACGGTCTTTGTCTTCCCTGAAATACTTTTCCACTTCTTTCTCAATGGCATCACTTGTCTCTTGCACCAGCCCTTCAAGATGTTCTCTGGTGACATTGCGCCTGTCCCCATTCCGAATTTTGTTATCCAGTCTCATTTGTACGTCTAAGATGTGACTCCTCAGCCTCCATGTCCACTGACTAAAGGTACTTTCCAGTTTCCTGTACACAGCAATCTCCAGGGAATTTTTGAAGCTGAAAACAAAGTTTTCATTCAGCAAAGCATTCCAGAGGTCACCAATACGATCTTTCAGACTGGAGAACCTCAAAATGCTGCGCTGGGACTGATTCTTGGCAGCCTGGAGGATTTTGTTCTTGAGTTGCTGGACATTCTGGCTGTAGGTAGGGTTGGGTGGTGCCATTGGGGGGTTTCCTTCCCACAGGTGAGCAAAGTAGTGAATGTGGGTGTTCACATCAAAGGCAATGACATCGCTGAAGGAGGAGATGTCACAGAATTCCTGCTGAGCAGCTACCACAGTCATTTCATCCAGCTTTGCCTGAAAACGCCTTTGTCCTTCCATGTTCTGCTCCTTAGCAGTTGCTTCTCCCACGTTTTGGTGGACAAAGATGCAGCTTGGGGAAAGATTGACTTTCTTCATCCTCAGGAAAGCCTGCACAGCGATCTGGAGAACATCTTGCATTTCTGATGGATTTTCTCCAAAGATATTGATCACAGTGACGTTGCCAACACCAATGACAAAGGTGGCCAGTTCTTTGTCATGGTTCAGGGACTGTTTATTGGCCATCTCAATGGCACGGAGTCCCTCTGTGTCAACCACCAGCACAAAATCAAAGCCCAAGTCTTGCTGCAGCTCCTCGCCCACTGGGATGAGCTGCATGAAGGCTCCGCGGGTGCATCTCCCTGCGCTGACGTTGAACTGCAGGCCAAACATGGCATTCAGCAGGGTGGACTTGCCTGTGCTCTGGATGCCGAGCACGGAGAGCACAAACACTCGTTTGTCCCCCAGCCTCTCAATTAAGCTGTCAAAGATTGCTCCCACCCAGCACAAGGGCAGGTAAGAAGCGTCCCCATCCATCAGCTCTACAGGATATCCTAAATCCATCAAATCTGCTGCAATTTCTGGCAGTTTGACAAAATTTTCTTTCTTACAGCTTATTGATGGATTAGACCCTTCCAGGAGATCCCCAATTGTCTTGGTCAGTTGTTCCACCAGTTCAGCTTCGTTTCTATTTTTGATCCCTATTGTTATGGTTTTGCTGACTTGTCCGGCTGCAACGTTCTCTTTTTCTGTGAAGCCAATGCGGATGAAGGACACGATGGGTGTCTGTGCCTGAAAGATGAGTTTGTTGTTGTAACTCTTTGTGCGAGCCTGCTTCCCTGACTTCTTTGCCTCTTTCCAGCTCCTTTGGATTTGGCTGAGGGTGTAGAGCGGGAACTCGATGTGTGAAGTGCTCGGGTTGGGCAGCAGCAGAGGCAGCGCCAGTTGGCAGAATGCCAGCTTGGTTGCAAGGGACTGTCTCAGGAAGTCATCAGCACAATGGAAGATGGCCATCTGCAGGTCCATGGGGTGCACATGGCCGTCCCTGCTTGCACGTTCAGGGGAGGCTTCCATCAGCTTATCAAGAAAGTTTTCAAAGGAGTCTGATTTTTTGTGCTCTTGCTCTCTGATTTTTGGCAGGGCTGCAAGTTTTGGGTTGCTCCTTTCCCAGCAAGTCAGGCACCTCACCCGGTAATCCACAGTTAACAGCTTTTGCAAGAAGTAAAATAGCAGTTCTGTGTCCTGGGTGGGCTGGCTGTCCTGCAGGGATACCTTGCAAATGGTGCGGAAATCTCCCATCCCCATTTTCCTTGGATAGTGACTTTCCAGTCCAAGGCGCTTGAGCAACTGGAGGAACTCCTGGTTTGCCATGGCTTCATTTACTTTGGATTCTCTGCTGTCTGACTTGGACTGGGACTGACTGGGGGCCTCAGGTGTTAGGAAAGTGTCTTCCAGGTCGCTGAGTATGTTCTGCATCCTCTGTTCATCCCATTTATCATCCAAGCACCCACTGATCAAGGAGTCCAAGTCCCGTTCCAGCCTCTCCCAGTCTTTGTCTCTACTCTGCTTTTGGAGGAGATTCTTTATTTGTGTGGACCACAAGCCTTTCATGTGATCTTCCATGAAAACTAAACGCTCCCTCTTCAGCTCAGGGGACAGCTCTTGACTTTCAGGTGTCACAGTCAGACCCGTCAGCAGGAGGAAGGCGTGGCCAGAACTCTTTGGGAATCTCCATGGCTCTCCACAGAGTCTCTGCTTTCTCCTTCAGAGCATCCTGGCTGTGCCTGCGGCTCTTGAGCATTTCTGTCAGATCCTTCAGGGCTTGTTTGGCCTCTTCTTGTTTCTGCTTTGTCTTCTTCAAGTGCTCCTTCTGCACCCCTTTAGTGCTCATTTTGCCATCTGTTATTTTCAGGAGTTTCTGGAGTGCCTTTTTCTCCCAGGGGTGCCGTAGCACACACTCCAACCTGAGGTAGTCTTTATATTCCAGATGTTGCAGTGCTTCTCTGCACTTGATTCCCAGGGTCTGCATAATTTTGGGCAGCCAGGATCCAGCATCCAGTCCTGCCTTCTGGAGTGCCTCTGCGATGAGCTGTGCCTTTGCATCCCCCTCCTGTGTGTCCTCCTGCGAAGCCATGGCTGTGGAGCAATGTTATAAAGTGATAAAGAATGATTGGCTCTCCCAGTCAAGGGATGAATACTGAGTGAATATTAGGAGAATATTTATATATCTATTGATGTATAATTATGTTCTTGCAGTCTGTTGTTTAGATGTCCTCTGTTCTCTCCATAGTCCCCTTCCCCCCACCCCGTATTGTTAGCATCCGACAGTCTGAGTCATTAAGGACAGTGTCTTGGTTTGACCCGAAAATGAGTTTCTAGAAAAGTTGTGGTCAAACCAATCAGTGGCCAGATTTGAAATTGGCACTTAGTGCTGGCCAGTGAGGATTTGGATACGCCTCTGAGAACACACAAGAGTTAAAAGCAGAGCATTCCCAGAGAAACTCCCTCTTTGGAGTCCAGCAGGTGAGCTGGCCTGACCTCCCCCCCCGCCCAGCTGCGTCTGGGTGGTGGTGGGGAGGCCATGTGGCCTGAGGGAAGGGAGGCCGGAGCCCCTGCAAGAGGCAAAGGTGGAAGAGAGGAGGAGATTTGAGATAGTTTGGGCAGCCCCCCCGGGAGAGAATGATAGAGACTGTGCTGGCTTGAAATTTGATATCTCATGCCGGGCACCATGGCCAAGAAGAGAAGAAGGGCAAAGTGCCCAGCCGCTGGCAGACCGGGCTGAGCTTTTAACTCTTTTAGTATTGAAACAATAGAAGCTGTAAAAACACTGATCCTCCCCAGCCAAGAGTTTAGAGAAGACGGAGCATAAGAAAGAAAAGAGGGTTTGGGTAGTTGAAGAAAATGACAGCAGATGAGAGTGCCCTAGATGGGGGAGATGATTGGAGTGGCTTTGGCTGGAGTTTTCTCTTACATAGCCACGGGCGAAACCAATTTCTTCCGATAATGCAGAGACTGCACCTTGGGGGAGGCAGTTGGCCGAAAGCCAAGAATGATAAGGCCGCGAGGAGAAGTAGAGAGAACAGAGACTGAGGGGGAGGGTGTGGTGGAGCCCTCTGCCTTCAGCAAAGGATCTCTGTTCCTGAGACCCAGGCCCCAGGGGAGTAAAAATATGGGGGGGACAGGTGTCCCAAATGGTGAGAGGCGGCCACTTCTTGGAACTGGGCGATGCATTCTTAAAAGGACCTAAAAAGCAGTTTAGATCCATGGACGGTAGTGAGAGCGCTAGACATGGAAAGAAGATGGTCACCACGGCAGATTCTCTCCGGGCGGCTGCCGTGTGTGACACAGAAGCACAAGAGGTTCCACTGTGTTTCTGGGGGAGGCCCATGGTGCAAGAAGGAGACTCCTCTCTCCTGATGAACTGGGGGGAGCTTGTGTGAAAGAGGGTATTAAACTGAGAATTGATGCATTAAAGGAGATTTGAATGTTAGAAAACTGGAGAGAAGAGGAGTGTTTTTAGGAGTGTTCCATTGTGGATTGTTGTGGGTGGTTTTTTTTTCCTTTTTTCCCTTATGTTTCTGTGTTATAAATTATTAAAGTGTTGTGTTTTTCCCTCCATCCCCAATTAGAAACCTGCTTTGTTCTGTTTCTGGGTCACATCTCACAGTAACCATTTTAGAAATATATCTTTCATGAAAACCCTGGCATTGTGCCAGGGTCAAAGCATGACAGACAGGTAGAAAGAAGGCGTGTACAAAAACTTGTCTGCAAGAAAGCAGACTCCACCAACAAACAATGTACAAGAGCTGACTGAAAGACTTTGAGAGGGACTATGGCTGGCTGATGCAAACCCTTCCACCACAGGGTATAAAAGACAAAGCATCCATCCTGAAGATGAGCCAGCCACTTGGTAGGCAGCCATGAGGGAAGCTCCCATGTCTGTTTTTCTCATTTAGTCCTTTTATGGTAATTATTGTTAAAGTTTTATAAACCTTTTAAAATCTTAAAAAGTGGGTGGTCGTTTTCATAAGGAAGAACAGAGATTTTCCCTAAGGTGTTGTCAGAGGCCCCAGGCTCCTGGCAGAGGTTCTGCAGCAGCTGTAGCCCTGGGCATTGCTCCCACCAGGCTGCTGGAGCCAGGTCTGGGATGGCACAAGAGCCAGGGTATCCTTCCCAACACCCTGGATGTGCCTGTTGCTTTCCTGTTTGCAGGATCAACCCTGAAGATGAGTGCGTGTCCCAGGAACAGAAACACAGACACAGAGACATACACACAGACACAGAGACACAAACAGAGAAACACACACAGACACACACAGACTCACTCAGCCACACAAGCTGCCCTGGACAAGGTGCTGCCTTCACCCTTGCCCCCAATCCTCCCAGCAGAACTCCTCAATCCACAAGTGCCAGCAAACCTTCAACCCTGACCTTGAGGGGAGCAGACTTCAGGCTGCACAGAGACAAGTTACAGAGAGCCCCTGGGAAACGGCTCTGAAAAGTGCTGGGGTCCTGTCTTGGGGGTGGTTCTCATCCCATAGCCAGTTTGGTTTTGGATTTGGTTTGTGTCTGGAGCTGTAAATGTCCCCCCTCTAATTCAGGAGTATCACAATAGGTGAAGGGTGGCCCAGGGTTCTGTGTGGGGTTGGGGACTAGGGGCTGTTCTTCCTTCCAGCAGTGGGGATCAACACAGGGGCCATGTGGCATAGTGGATCTGCCCTGAGATCCAGTTGCCCTAATGCTTTTTTTCTTCCTCCCCCTCCCCATGTTTTTTTCTTGTTTCAGCACTGTGACCAGGGCTAGCCAATGTTATAAATGACAATATTGGTTTTCAGATTTATGTATTGGCTTTTCCAAATTTTTAGTGATCACAACAACTTTGATATAGTACTATTTGTAACCCCTTTTAACTGATTTAATATGATATAATCTGACAGCTTCTGTATGCACAATATAGCTCATATAAATAGCAGTGTGATAAATATATATATATTATAGCGTAGGATTTTGCAAAATATTAAAATAGAGACTATGTAATGTTAACTGCTTTTCTTTGTGTAACTATCTCAGATAATGGTGTGAATAGCTGTGTTGTACCTGTGGACTATCTTATCTGAATGATAACAGTGACGAGATCCAGGAGAATAAACACCAAAGCAAAATGCAAGAATTGACCCTCAGAGGTTATCTGAAAATGTCAATGAACCAAACAGAGCCTCAAGAAGAAATAAAAGATATGAATTCCACCTACAGAATAGAATGAAGACGCATCAAAGGTCAAGCCAAGCAAAAGTATTCCCTGAGCCCGTAAGCTCGCAGGAATGTTTGACTGCGTATAATCATAAAGATGCATTTAACCAATGTAATGAAAACTATATAAAATAATTGTTTTAAGCCAACGGTGGGCTTTTGGCAGTTTGCCAAGCACCTCAGCTCGGGATACTGTCCCTTTTATCATCTCTTATTAAACTTTAAACAATTTTAAAGAGTGAACCTTGTTTCGCACACCTGCTTGCTTCTCTGCTCCTGTGCTGCTTGAGAGCTCAGAGCTGCTGTGTGCTGTGCTGAGACCTGGGAGCATCCCCAGCCCCACCAGGCCCAACCTCAGGCCCAGCCATCACCGGTGAGCTGTGCAAAGGAGTGATCCCCGCCTGTCCCCCACTGCTTCAGGAATTTTAGCTACAATTTAATTCGCCGCCCTGGGTTTGCAGTGGCACTGAGAGCAGTTGCTCCCTGTGGGCTGTGCAGGGGAAGCCAGCTCCCCTCTCCCGTGTCCCCAGAGCCGCCATTGCCAGCGGAGAGGCGGCCGAGCTCACACCACAGCGCCCCCTGCAGCCGCGGGGGAATCATCGCACAGCCCTGCCCAGCCAGGAGCCAGCAGCGCCCCTGCTGGCTGCGCCCGGAACTGCACCGCAGGGGCGGTGCCTGGCGGGTGAGACACGGCTGGGATTGGGTTTCTGGTTTTGGTTGTTGCTGCTGCTGTTGTTGTTTGTATCTCTTGGAATATACATATGTTATAGATACATATTATAATATTGGCTTTTTGCAAATATTAAAATGGATTTTATATGTGTAATGTTAAAGTAACTTTGTTATAAAGATACAGTTTTTATTTCTGTTGTTAATTAAGTTTAGACATAGTAGTGACATAGCTTTGTTTGTGTTAAAATGCCTGCTTGGATAACATCCAATGAACATAGGATAAGGACACCTGCTACAGATATGCCAACTATCAGCATCTATCATCTGAAGGCAGTGTGGACCAAGGCCTAAACTGGAAGAGATAAAGAGAAGCAGCTAAAGCCACAGCCTAGAAACGCACATGCTCTAAAAAGGCAGGCCCAAGGAAGGGCCGTGTAAAATAGTTCCTGGAAAATGTAAATTAGTTTATGAATAGGCATAAGAGTCTATGAATGTGCAACAGGCTGATGTAATGGAAAAGGTGTTTAAGGAGTATCCCCAAAGGTGATGGTGTGCTCTTGGCTGAGCTCCAAGGCACACTTGGCTATAATCTTTGCTTTATTGTCTTTGTCTCCTATTGTCCTTTATTAAACTTTTCAAATTTTCACAGGAGACTGAACATGTTTTTCACATATATACTCTAGTATATATACCTGTTATTCCTTTCCCTGTATCTTTGCCGAAAAGCCCCATAATTTCAATGTTGTGATAATATGGAGAGAAGGGGGCCATATTCTCCATTCCAGGAAGGTTCTAGGACACCTGTGTTTTAAACAGGTACAGGTCCATCACTGCAGGTCAATTTTATTGAAAAACCCCTGAAGCACAAGGCAGTCATAGGTCACAGCCACTACAGACTCAGGAGAAAAAGTCCTGCTTGTCACCCTAAATTTCCTTTCACAACACATTAACACATGGAGTTGATCAAGGACAGCCAGTTAATCTGAGCATTTGGGATTTCAGGAAAGCTTTGGATCCTGCCTCTCCTAGCACCATGGTGTGTCCCTTCCAACTCAGGCCATTCCATCATTCCATGATTCTCAACCTAACGGATCTGGCATTTTCACTGGACACCTGCCTTTAATCCTTTGGGGGTTTTGGCACTGTCACACAACCCTGAAAATTGCCCCAGTCTCAGTTCAGTTAGATACAGGGGAAATTTATTCCTTGCAAAA